TATCTCTCTCTCTCTCTCTCTCTCTCTCTCTCTCTCTCTCTCTCTTTCTCCGGAAATTGACTGACAGTTTTCGACATGGGCGCTGCCTTCGCGAGCAAAAATGAGAGGGCAGTGATTGTATCTGACGTGTAATATGTAGCGCAATATTCATTGAATGAATTAATCTGTGCTTTTTTTATCCTTTCAATACTCTTATAATACCAAATTAAATGTGAAGGGATTGAACATGGATAAAATGAACAGAATTAAATGTGCAGATTAAATAATTTTCATTGTCAGTTTCAATTTATTTAATTACTCGATCAAAATGAAGAAGGAAAATAAATTGAAATATTATAAATAAATAAGTAATAAAGTATCTTACGCATAAGAATTATAAATATTTAACGAGCCGTTTTAATTAATTAATTTTATTTGATATTTCACATTAACGTTAAATAAATAAACGGTCATTTTATCAAAATCAGTGAAGTTTATTGATTGGTTTATATTTCTAGGCGTAATTGGTTTTTTTCACGATTATGTGATTTATGAGGATCGTGATAACGACCGCGAATGCCTGCTCGGGCATTTATTCCAGACCAGATAACGTGCGAGTGACGTCAAATGAATCGTAAGACTTAACTTCCGTCCGTTGACCCAGCATACAAAATTCGCTTTGAATCGTTCAAAGGACTGTCACCAGGCAGAAATCATACACAGTTAATAACGAATGAAAATTCTGAAAGACAGGATAATAAATCGACATTGTGTTCTCTCATTATTCAGTATTTGAACTATTCAGTATATTAAACATAGGATAAAAGTCGTAAAATTTCAGTTTCATTTACATAAACATGTTTAATGCAAAATTTTGATTACGTGATATAATTCTACTTTGTTAAAGAAACTGAAGTTTGTCCCGCCTTTAATCTTTTCTTTATCTTCGCAATAGCGTAGCTAGAAAGACTTCGCAGATTATGGCGCACAGATTGATAGAGAAACATACAATTCGGTGCTCTGTGATAACATTTGGCACAATGACGTCAAATATATATGCAAATTCTCTATTCTTTCCGTTGATCCGTTTCATCGACATTAAACATGCAGCACGATCTCTCGCATACTGTCGGTTATATATATGGTGTTACAGAAAAACAATAATCACAGAAAAATAATAATTCTCTTTTTCAGTAAAAAATTTGTCGAAATATATGATATATTAAAAAATTAAGTATTTTTCTAAATAGATAGTATATTAAAGTATTAAGAAGTAGAAAAAGAGAAAGAGAGAAAGAAAGAGACAAAAATAATCTTTAAAAATAAATATTTAAATAATGAATATAATGTTTCTTTAAAGATAAATAAAAGTTTAAGTAATAGAACATTGTTTTAAAAAGTAATGAAAGAAAAATATGTAATATAAATAAATATGAAAAAAAGACAAAGAATTAAATATAAAATATATCACATTCTGGATGCTCCCTTTTGATAATAGATTCAACGTCAAAATATTTTTCAAGCAACCAATAAATTAAATGAAAATATAGTTCTCTCATAAAATTCGCCTTTCTCTGCCTTAATGAACTTAGCATCGATTTTCTCTCAGGGAAAATTTGATCAACGATTTAATGGGAAGACTGTTAAGACATGGTAAATTAAGCTTTAGAACAGTAAATTGGTAATGCGATCTTTTTGTACTATTAATTGAAAGTAAACTTTATTTAAATGTAAACTTTATTTAATATTTTAATACTCTCGAGAAACTGAAAGAATTGATATTATTTCCAATAATACGAAAAAAAATCCAATCTAAACTTTAAAGATTTTATAAAAATTATTTTAAATCTTTCTTTTTCTCTCTTTTCTCTCCTTTTCTTACGTTACGTTTTATTTGAGTAACACTCGGTATATACTCCTCTCGTATTACATTTGGTGTAATGGTCATTCGTGTATCTGTAACCGATAGCGGTAGCGGTGTGTAAATTATTGTACGAGCGAGTACAAATTATTGTACGAGCATTATCGTATCAAGTATTATACGAGCGCCGATTGAAATTGACATCCATTTGTCGGAGCGGTTCAGTGCAAGCTCAGCGTTGCCCCGAGGAGCTCTGCCTTCCTTCATCGCGATTACATTTTGACGTAATTTTGATTTAGAACAACCAGTTTACTACAGTTGTGAGATATAAAACAATGCAAATTTGCGCATATAAAATGGTGTTCCCATGAAATGGGAACGGAAAATAAACGCGCCGACATTTTTCAGAGAGATACGTCAGATTATTCTTATTTTGTAGAACTTAGTTTGTGTACAATATAGTGTACTTTCAAATGTGAATTTTAAGATAAGAAAGAATATTGAAACAATTCTAATGTTAAAAATTATATGATTAAAATAAATTACAAATAATATTTGAATTAATTCGGTGATGGAAAATTTTGATAGTGTTTATGAGTGTTAGTGACGCAGTCTAATTTTCATAATTATAACAATTTACTGATAATTAAACAAAAATACCTGCAACAATGAAAGAATTAGGAGAAAATATAATAGAGGTAAATTTGGAATTAAAAACTGTTAAATAGTAAAAACTTAAAAGAAAAATGAAAGATTTTATTCTATAATTTTATAATTTTGATAATATAATTTTGTAATTAAAGATAATTTCGACATATGCTGTTCTACAATTATTAATAAATTATTTAGTCAATTATTTTAGAAAATAATTTTTGTCGACAGTGGGAGAGCTCGGAGTCGGATTTCTCGGACACTGAGGACTCAAATGAATTAGGGGCCAGCGTGGGCCCCGAAATCACCGCGATGGACACTATTGATAGTGTCAACAAACGACAGGCCACTCGTGTTTTCAAGAAATCCAGTCTCAATGGCAAGATTACGGTTTATCTTGGCAAAAGAGATTTCGTCGATCATATCACACATGTTGATCCTATTGGCACGTATCTAATCATCAACTCGTTTTCAAACAAAAATAATGTACAGATATCACCTCGATTATATTGTTTGTATATATTATTTTTTGATATAACGATTTAGATAAATAAGCATTTTTTTAAGAATTTCATATTAAAAAAATTCTTACAATTCCAGACGGGGTCGTCCTGATCGATCCTGATTACATAAAGGATCGAAAAGTGTTTGGTCACGTTCTCGCGGCATTCAAATACGGCAGGGAGGATTTGGATGTTCTCGGATTGACCTTTCGTAAGGACCTCTATTTAGCAGCGGAACAGATTTATCCGGTAGTGCAAGGATCTCAGCCCCCCAGGGAGTTGACGCGATTGCAAGAGAGGCTGATCAAGAAGCTGGGCAGCAATGCGTATCCCTTTTACTTCGAATTACCGCCGCATTGTCCCGCTTCGGTTACTCTACAACCGGCACCGGGTGATACTGGCAAACCCTGCGGCGTCGATTACGAACTGAAAGCGTTCGTAGGTGAGACACAAGATGACAAACCGCACAAACGGTACGAATCTTAGTACAAAATTAAAGAAATTATTAAAGAAATTATGGTTTCAAAAAAAAAAAGAAAGAAGAGCTTTTACTCAAAATAAAATAAATTACTGGTAAAAAGAAGAGAATAAAAAGATTCTCTTTCTTTTCTTGATATAGAAATAAATATCTTTATATTCTAAAATAACATATACATATTATACATTATATTATTACATACATAGTCTAAATATTTCATCGTAATCAAATATCGAAATTGATTCGATCCATAGGAGTTGCGTGAGGCTAGCAATCAGGAAAATTATGTACGCGCCGTCAAAACAAGGAGAGCAGCCTTCGGTGGAGGTCAGCAAAGAATTTATGATGTCTCCGAATAAGTTACATTTGGAAGCTTCCCTTGACAAGGAGCTCTATCATCACGGCGAGAACATAGCTGTAAACGTGCACATAGCGAACAATAGCAACCGGACTGTGAAAAAGATAAAAGTGTCGGTTAGGCAGTTCGCGGACATCTGCCTATTCTCCACGGCGCAATACAAGTGTACTGTTGCCGAGGCCGAAAGCGAGTGAGTATTCCCTAGCTAATTACCACCCATTCTTTATCAGAAAATAAAAATGTTACACCCCAATGAGGAACGTTTAAAAATACCGGGTAATGTGACTTAAAAGCCATTTTGATTGAACAAATCAAATGTAAAATTCATAAAAATTGAATTTTCATTTCTTTATATAAATCTTCCTCTGGAAAACTTGGAAATTTAGAAAAATGTAATTAAAAAATATAAATAGAGATAAAAATTCTTTTTATTAGATAAAAAATTTTTAGTAAATAATTTTTAATAACTAATTTTTTAATAAATTAAAATCTTTGGATTATCTTACTTCTCAAAACTGCTTTTTAATCACGATACAAATACGGTCTTAAAATATTGGAGTTAATACTTTTTTTAATTTAACAAACAGTTCATTTCAAACCGCTTACAATTCAGATGATCAATTTAGCGCTTTTAACAATGTACGATCTAAACAATGTTAGAGACATTAAGAATTCGAGACTCTCGATGGGTCTCTCTGACAATCAAGACCAGCTTGCGTCCGAGTTGTGTCAAAACTTTTTCGCGATTAGACACGCAATGGACACGATAATACGCAATAAACAGTGACGAGCAGGAAAATAAGATTATTGCACTGGCAGTATAGGGGTAGCGCCAGGATTCACCCTGAGCAAGGTGTTTTCTCTAAGGCCGACGCTTGCCGAGAACAAAGACAAGCGGGGTCTTGCTCTAGATGGTCAGCTTAAACACGAGGACACCAATCTCGCGTCTAGTACAATGTGAGTGCGAGATTAAGAGCTCGCTGTTTCCCTCATTACTCTCTTACTTTTTCTACCGGGAAAGAAAAAAGAAATGATAGAGGCTGGAAACCGGCCAAATGGCTTCCCGCGCTGTAATCGTGACGATATCTCATGGCAAATGTCCGGATTTTATGGGGACTACTCTTGTTCAAGTGTCATAGAGACGAAGTATAGGAACGATGTGCTATTAATTTTTTTAAAACAACTTTATGAAGTTATTGGGAGACAAAATTTTTTTGCTGACAGACTTGCATAGTTTAACAATGTTTGAATTAGCTTAAATAAATTTTTATCAAAAAATTTTAGGATATAAAAAGAACGTAACTTTGTAATTAATAAAATATATTATACTTTGTAAGAACTTTTTTTCAGACATATAAAATAATATAATTTATTACATTTATACAAATTGTTTAAATATAATAAGTTTAAAATTAAACATAAAGGAAAATTAAACATAATTGAATTCTTTTCTAGTCAGAATGTTTACGTTGTTTTTTGTTATCAGCTCAATGAAGAAAATTACAAGACTGTTTAAAAATATTAAAGGAGCCCGTATCCAGCCTCCTTTTTCATTCTCTTCTTTTTTGCATCAATGCAAAAAAATGAAGAATGGACTGGCAGTTTTTTTTGGTGATTTTTTGGGGAGTTTTTAACGCGGTGGCCTGTAATCACGTATGAATCTCGATCGGTGGTGGTCTCATTTTCTCTGCAAAACTCCTCCACACTCTCTTTCTCTCTCTCTTTGTCTTTTTCTTTTTTTGTTTTCCTTCCTCCTATTAAGATGTATTTCTAGATTATATATATATATATATATATTTTTTTTTCTCCTATTAAAACATTTTGAATTCTTAAAGTTAATATTTCTGCATTAATATATATGTAAATTCACATCCTGCATATTCCTCTCAAACACTAAAGTACACAGGATTGTCAAGCCCTCGTCTTGTCTCATAATCTCTTTCATAATCGTAATTTTATTGCGTGAGGCACAAGCTGACATCGTATTATCACGATGTATATAAGTGTTACAGAAAACATGATTAATTTCGCAGTTATTTGCATATTATTTTATTTTAGTCGACTGTAAATTTATCAACGTAAAACTGAAACTTTCTGCAAAATTTCTCTCGATTCAGATGCGCACATGTATTAAAATATAATATTTACCACTGACTAAATAATAAATAGCAATCAAGATTAGTATTATTTTGATTAATATTAAACAATTTTTATATACAAACCTAATATTTTACAAACTTATTTAAAAAACAAATATATCTAATCATTGTTTCTTTAATTAATGTCGGACAGTTTATGAATATTTTGTCAAAGATGATTATGATAACGGATTTTTGCGATATGCTACTTTGGCGAATTGATCGATGCGAAATATTCGCACATAGTGGCACATTGACTGCTCTCATGCTGATTGTACTGTGTTCAAATGTCAGGGAGGGATGTCCGGTGGGCCCGGGTTTCACGCTGAGCAAGGTGTTCACCTTGACACCCCTTCTGGCCAACAACAAAGATAAATGGGGGCTCGCCCTCGACGGCCAACTCAAACACGAGGACACCAATTTGGCGTCCAGCACTCTGTAAGGACGCGATGCCTGAAATTGAACCTGCGACACGCGCAGACACACGTCTAGATACTGATACGCCGCACCGCTTTTCAGTCGCGCATTTAGCGTCGAGAAGGATAATATCCGGAAGTTATCCTCCAGAAATTGCGAAAGTTTGACACAAACTCTGGAATTTAACGCAGTGTTTCCTAAACTTTCGACAGTATGTCAGACATGAAACAGTTAGCTGGTTATTAGAAATATTAAATTTTTAAATACATATTATATATAATATATTATATATAATATATTATATATAATATATAATATATTTTTAATGAAAAAAATAAAAAAACATTATAAAAACTATTTGATTTTTCTATTGAGGCACGTTTATAACGTAGCCCTCGAATTCAAATTCTTTTGTTTTTTACAATTGGTCAGAATTTTATAAATTCAGAAAATTTTACTAGAGTTAGATATAGAGGAACATGGTGTAAATAGATTTATATAAAATATTTCTGAATAAAATTCTTTGTAACAATAGTTTATATAATATTTGGAGATATATATATATATATATATATATATATATATGATAAATTAATAAAAATTATTTTAGTAAAGCGTTTCAAATTTTATAATAAAATGTTAGGAATAAAAATTTAACACTGACAAAGAAATTTGCCACGTGAATAGTAATGAATGCTAAATGCGGGACGAAAATGCGAACGGCGTTTATTACACACGTGTCGTTCACGCACGCAACACGCAGCCGAATACGCCTTTGGGAATTTCTCGTTTTCGTGCGCAACGCTTTCCACACGACGGCCGGAAAATACATGTTGGCTGCCTGCAACGAAGCTTTTCTCAACGATCGATTGATCGAGATGGCGAGCGACTGGCTCAATCATTATAGAGCGACGTGTAATTCTGTTTTTGCGAAATTCGCACTCAAATTCACTGGGAATCGTTCCTTTCGCGCATCCTGAATTTCTTATATCCAGATCCATGGATGTCAGTATAAACCAAAATTTTGGGATCAAAAATATATATTTTCCAAGTTTTTAATACAGATCTTAACCCTTGATATCCATGGATTTTGTGATCTAATTCTTTCGATGCCATATTTTTCTTGAGACGTTTTTGCATTCCAAGATTAAAACAGAATTGCAGTTTTAATATTCAGTACTGACACATGACATTTTAAAGAATAGATCCTGTTAACTTTGAGATAAATGTGTACGTTGGTAAATTGTACATATTTTATCTTCTTATATATTACGTGAGATTAAATTTAACGACTTTTAAAATAACAAATATATATGACTTGCAAAAAAAGTCTTTATCTGTCTTATCCACCTTTTATTCCAAATAAAATTTTTAGAACTTTTCCTGGAATATATATCTTCCAATGATATCGAAAGGATTAAAAAAATGCGATCCAGAGGATTTAGGATGCAAGATACCTACAGCAAAAATCTAAATCGGAATCCCATCCTCCTTCTGCTTGTGCTCGTAAAAACATGGCATCGCCACCGCATTGTGCCTGTAGTAAAGTTGCATGAACAAATTGTTCATTTTCGCTGCGAAAGTGTAGTATCATGAATAGCTTAAAAGATATGTACGTGATTACTGCTTTATACAAATTGTTAAATAAATGTTATTGTCAATGTATAAATCGCTGCTTGTTCTTAACAATTTTCAACTAGTAAAGCTAATCTCTCTTCTATCGCTTTTTATCGTCGCATGTTGTTATCACACAATTAACTTTGCATGAACTTTTACGTAGCGTTTATATCAGTTAATTATAATACCTTGCAATGACGTCAATAAATATAATTCGCAGTGTCGTTGATCCAGCACAACGTGAAAACCTCGGCATAATTGTCCAGTACAAAGTTAAAGTCAAACTCTGCCTCGGCGCTCTAGGAGGGTAAGTGCTATTTAACGTTGCCAAAAGAATAACATAAAGCATTCAGATAATGCAATAATAATTTTTTGTAAAACACAAGTTATAAAAAAAAATAATGTTAAATGAATACATCACTTTTAAGTTGAAGAATCAATAAAAAGTTTCAATTTTAATTAACTCAAAATTCGTTTTAAATATAAGAATTTTTAGAATTATAAATTTAATATTTTTATTTGATACTATTATTATTACTATGATGACAGCGAATTAGTCGCGGAACTGCCCTTCATTCTGATGCATCCCAAACCGGAAGAGGAGGAACCAGCGCCGTCCACAGCTCGACCAAGCCCTACGCACAAAACTGACAGCGGGGAAGTCCCGCTCGATACGAACCTCATTCAATTAGACACGTAAGTAATTAAAAACAATTTTAATTTAAGCTTAATTTCTAAACAAAAAAATTAAAGAACTGCAATTATAAACTAAGGAAATTCTATTTGAAGTTTCACAAGACGTCTTAATTTCTGAATAAAAATATCTACAAAGTACAAGTTTTAAACTATTTTCTAATTTTTCTGTCTATTCTCAGGGAAGCAGATGGCGATGATGATATAATTTTCGAGGATTTTGCTCGTTTGAGGTTGAAAGGCGAAACAGAAGCTTGACCGTGTTCCGCAGACACTTTGACATGTATTGATCAAGTGACTTTGACGCCACCATGTCGTACACAAGACGGAAGTTGCACAATTTCACCAATGATGCCAATAGTAGCTATGTCGCAGCAACAAACTTAAACGACGATGTTACTGTTTAAATTTGTTGCCGCGGGGTTATATCTACTTTCGAATGTGTCAATAACGATATTTTATCGTTCTGGCACACATATTTTAAAATTTATCACAGGAAAACAGTTTTGAAAACAAATAAAATTAAAATGATAGAAAAAGAAAAAATTATATGAGAAAGAAATTGTGCAAATCACTCATATTTTTTTGCGCAATTTCAAACTCTTATGTAGGACAAAAGATATTCGCAATTTGAAAATGTGTCGAGAAAGTTCTTGTTCAATAATAGTCATTTCTATTAATGTCAAAAACTTTAGAAGATATTCAGAAAGTTAAAATTTTTCAAAAGTAAACTGTTTATCGATTCAATGTATTGTTTCTCTTTTTTTAAACTAATATACATAATATTTATGAAAAAAATTACTAAAATGATAAAACAAGTAATTAGACGCTATTTTTTATGGCGCATATTCTGTATTTAATAATGATAATTCTAATTTATGGAAAGAATGTGGCGGGTTTTTTGTAATTAACATTCATAACTTTTTCATTAACACCGTCGCCATTTTACGCTTTGGCTCTGAAGACTGATTTTAAAAAGAACATCCAAAATCTCCAAGGACGTATCTATCATTAAATTCTTAATAATAAAAGAAGAAATAGATACAAATTATAAAATTTGGTATTTCATTTTCTGAAAATTATTATAAAGTAATTTATTATTAACAGTAAATAATTACGTTAACTAATTAATTACGTGTAAATCATAAAATATTTCAGTAAATGTATGAGTCAATTATTATATAATCCAATTAATTCAATTAATTAAATTTTCTAATTAATTAAATACAGAATTGATAATTCCAAGACAAGATTCTTTAAATCTATAAGATATGATTTTTTAAACATGGCCAGTACATTATGTTTAAGTTACATCAGCGCACAGGATAAACTTTTTAAATTATCAATTTTATTTTATTAGTATGAACAGTAAATATAAATGTTATTACACATTATAAAGATTGTTTGTGCAAATGGAACAACCGTAAGTGCTTTCTTGCTTCTGGAGGACATAAATTTCACAAAATTAATACTTAATTTATACAATTAATATAGATAAAGCTCATCTGATTACAAAACCATATAAGATGATGAAAAAGCTGTTTTACATTTATTGAGCCTCTCTGAAGTGGATACAATATCGACTTAATTTATAACAACGAGAGAAATTATTTTAGGTAAGGGGTCAAGAATTCTAAGAAACCCATTTAGAAGCATTTAGTGCAATAATTTAATCACATATTTAATCACATACTCAACAAGATGCGAAAAAATACACGAAAGGAAAAGAGAAAAGATGACGTTTCGAGATGCAAATGTCAATTTCTAGTATTTATGAATAATTTGTAGAATTCAACATTGTAAAATTTATAATGTTAATTTGTTTCATGTCTTTTTTCCAATTTTACAATTAATTAAGTTAAGATGGCGAGCACTGTTGAATCATAAATATTGACTCCGACGTGTGTTTTTAAGACTGCTCCTGAATTCGATTTTCGCGTCTTACGATGAAAAGTCGCATAATCTTGCTTATATTTAAAATAATTAACAATTTGATATTAATTGCCTAATTAAACGTTGAACACAAAGACTTTTGCTATAAGATTAAGTTACAAAAATATCATCAAATAAATATTAATTATTATCCGAAATAATATTAATATTATTAAAAATAAAAATATCACGGTGAATTACACGTGATTATATTTAGTTATTTTTATGTAAATTTTATTAGAAACCATTTTTTTATATATTTGAGAAATTATTTGTGATATTTTTAATGTAATAACACAATATGTAATTTTATTATATTTATCATTGTACAACTTTCTATATACTTATCAAAAAAGAGAGTCTACCAATTTGTCTGACTAATTTTGGTCGTGAACGGACATCTTTAAAATGCAATTATTATTTTGAAAGTCCATACATTCATGAAAGAAAGCTTATTTACCTAAGAAAGCTTGGGAAACCTTCCAAAACGAATAAAATAGTTTGAGAACGCTTTGCAAAAAGCCTTATTTTGTTTCTAATGAACGATGATAGAGTTCAAAACTGATGTGTTTACATTTAAAGTTAACACATTAAATATTGTAGAAGAATATTACTAGAAAGATTCACAATATATATGTACACACACACACACACACACACACACACACACACACACACACACACACACACACACACACACACACACAAAGATCGATTCACGATCAAAATTGATCATTTTTAGATTCCTTTCTTTAAATAATCAAGACTGTAGAATAAAAATTACATCTAAAATTTAAATTTAAATCTTATTAAATATCTGAAAATTAATGATAAATTTTCATTAAACAAAAGATTTATTATACATTATTAATTTTAAATTAATAAATCCAAGTTAACAATGAACGGTTCACGTTGGCAACGAATATTAATTAATAATGACATTAATTAGAATACCGAAAGTTACAAAATCACAAAAGCTGCAAATAACATTGTATGTGTATATGTATGTGTGTATATATATACACACATGTAACAGAAGCAAAGAGAAAATAGTATTTTTTATCACGTTAGCATTTACGAACTGTATCTAGAAGAAATAATCAAGTATGTGGTCTACGCTTTTTTGTCACACGTTTAATATTGAACGAGTGATAAAAAAGCGGCCGTATTTCCTCATACCAAAGCCAATATCTCCGTTTCCTTAAAAGATGCTTCTTGGAGAAGATATTAATAACAATTCGTGAGAGTAAAAGAGTCTATTTAAATCTTTAAATTAAAAGGGACTTTCCAATCAAATAAACACATACAAAAACTTCAACTTCACTAATTCAACAGAATATTAATTTTTCTACGCAGATATAAATATGAAAATTATTATTAAGACACAAATTATGTCCAAATTTTATTGTACACATTATATAAAAATTATGTAATATAATATTTTTTCTGAATTTCATTAATATGATTTAATTAAATCCCATAAATATTACGTTAATTATTGTTTAGAAAGTCTCTTCACTTTTTTAACTTCGTTTCATATAATAGGAACATGTATGTTCAACGAATGTAGCTATTTAATTAAGGAATAAACTTTTGCGATTGCGGCGCATGTCAAATATTGACACTTCGATTATCGTTTTAAATGACATGTATGAGTGTGTAAGTGTATATGTGCAGGCTTGTATAATGAGAGTATATTTTATATTCGCCCGCGGGCGCGCGCATATTTTTTATATGATCGCAAGCGGTAGATCATTAATATTTTTATTGTGATCGGTAGAATCACACGAGAAAGAAGAATTACACCGCACAAAACCGAGCTAGATAAATAAAGTCAATAAAGGATGCCGTCTCTATAATTCTAATATTAAAATTGTTTTCTTGCAATACAAGAAAACCCTATTACATACAGGGTGTCACAGAAAGACGTAAATTTTCATCGATTTAACGAAAACATGAAACATCTAAACTTCCTATTTTCTATATATATTTATAAATTATAATTATTCCATCATTTTACATATGAATTACATATATGATATTATTATAATTAATTACATGTGCGATTGATATTTAATGTTTTGCCGACGAAAAATATCTGAAATTTTCCTTTTAGAAACAAATTTCTGACGCGATATTTTTTGAGACGCTCTGTATTTAACAAATCACTGCGAAAAGAAAGGCAAACGATTACGCTTCTTCGATATAACGTATTTTGCACTCGAAAACTCACGTTTCTATCATTTATGTCTCGTTTAACCAAAAATTGTATTTCTATGCAAACAGAAGGTTATCGTGATTGAAGATGAAGCGAAACATGAATTGTCAAAATGGCTGCATCATTCGACATAGGACGGTAATTAATTAATTGCACCGCATAATAATAAATGAATTAGAAATAAAAAAGGAAAGGAAATTAGAAAAATAAAAGGAAGAAAAGATATTATGCGCTCGTCTTGAGAGTGTATTTGTAATTAATGTAATCGAATTGATGTACAAGTACTATGGTTCATTACAGCTGTTACACATGTAAATCATAAGAGAAAAAAAGAAAGAGAGCCATTATCACTAACTTGTACATTGTACTAGGGACGATTTATTTATTGACGCCGCGCGATGTTAGCTAGCAAACAAAGTCGTGTGTCGTTCATGATCGTTCGCTGTTCATTCGTAAATAATTCGTTTTGTATGTAAAAGAGATTACAAGAGAAATAATAAAAGAGAAAAGAGGGAGAAAAAGAGTCAGAAAGGAAGAAAGACCGAGAGAGTGCGAGAGTGCATGTGTGTAAAGTAAACGGCACGGAGTAAATATATATATATATATATACATATATATATATATATATATATATATATATACAATTTTTTATTTAAACTCTTATTACAATTTTCATTCAAGCTAAAAAACGTAAAATGCTATAAACTGCTATAAACATCCATTGAAGGATATTGGAAGAATCTGAGCTAAGCGTTATTTAGTGGCGAAAGAAAGAAGTTCTCATCACTTTGAGCGTGATTTTTAAGTGCCGTCACTTACGTAGGTGCAATTTGATTAGCCGCGTCTATGCGCGAAGTTTTCATTAATCGCGATCCCTTTATCGGAGCAATAGCTATCGATCTCGTTGCGTTTACAAGCACTAAGTTTTCTCGAAAAGTCGTTTACATTCGGCGGAAGTCTGACATTTTATTAGCTAAATTGCGCACGACAACTCGAGACCTGTTGCTTTAATGTCGCCCCATTTTTTTAAGAGGAAGGAAATCAAATGTCTTCACGTACTTTTAACTAATCTGTTCCGATTGGCGCTCCCTGTGACAAATAGATATTATCTACTTTATTTTTT